GACTTCCAGCCGCTGCTGGACAACGGTGAGCCCTGCATCGAGGTGGAGTGTGGCGCTAACCGTGCACTGCTCTACGTGCGCAAACTCTGCCAGGGCAGCAAGGGCCCATCCATCCGCCACCGCGGGGAGTGGCTCACGCCCAACGAGTTCCAGTTCGTCAGCGGCCGCGAGACCGCCAAGGACTGGAAGCGCAGCATCCGCCACAAAGGTGCGACCGCGAGGCGGAGGGGTGGGGGGTGGGCAGCCGCGGTCAGTCTCCTCGGCTCACTTCCGCGCCCTTTGCTCTGCCCCCTGGGAGGCCGGGTCTCGGCCTAGAGGGGGCGCTGCAGCTCCAGGGCCGACTCAAGAACACCCCCACACCACCCCTGTTCCCTGCACGCCAGGCCGCTGGGGTAGCCAAGCCGAGAGCCCTCTGCTTCCTCGGTCCCCAGCCCCGGCCAGGCGCCCTAGTACCCCGGGTAACCATGGGCCGGCCATGAGGATCCCGAGCCCACAGGGCCAGAGGAAGTTCATGGGAACTCAGGGATTCCGGCGGGAGGGGAAGGTGATCTTCGGATGCGGCGCGGACGTAGGCGAAGCGGGGTGGGCGGGGGCGCGCGGTGTCGGAACAGAGGTCCCGAAGGTGGGGCGGCCTGAGCCCGGGATACCTAGCAGGATGGCGAGCGCCAAGCGCGGTGGGGCAGTTTAAAGTTGGGGACGAGGTTGCTTCGGTTCGCACTCGGCGCTGGTCAACACGCTTCTGCTGTGCGGGCAGCCGCAGGCCTGACATCCGCCGCGCCGCGCCGCTCACCTCTCCCGGGCTTGCCTTCCTCTGCCTGCCGAGGGCTCCTGCGGGACCGGCTCGGAGAGGGCGGAGCGGAGAGGAGGGGCCCCGGGGGCGGGTAGGAGGACTTCCTTCGTCATGGGAGGGCGCTAGCCCCAGACGAGTTTCGGACCCAGCAGATCACTGCCGCTTCGCCTCCGTGGGGTAGGGCGGACGGCAGGCTTGGACGCTGGAGGGCGGAGGGTGTGGAGATCGGTGTGAGTTCAGTGCACCTGCCGGGAGGGGGCCCCGCCTTGCCGTTGCTGAGCCCCCGGGGCGCGCGCGCTGGCCGCTCCACCTGCGCCCTGGCCACTCCTCACGTATTCTCTCGGCTCTCCGGGCAGGAAAAAGTCTGAAGACGCTTATGTCCAAGGGGATCCTGCAGGTGCACCCTCCGATCTGCGACTGTCCGGGCTGTCGAATATCCTCGCCGGTGGTGAGATTGGGAGTTAGGCTGGGGATCAGAGGAGTATGGTCTTCCCCTGCAGGGCTGGCTGTGCAGGTGTTTTCTAGGACTGGGAGTTCTAACCTCAAACTGGTGTGCAGGAGGGAGCAAGGTGCGGGGGGGGGGCTGTGCTCTGCTCTCTAGCCTGTGCCTGAGAAGAAGCAGGAGTTCCGAGGCACAGGAGCCCCTCCTAGCCTGGTCTTGAGTTCTACAACAACCCTCTCTCCCTGTTCGTGGCTTGGAGCTCCTCAAGTTCTGGGAACAGACAGCCCAGGGTTCCAGGGCCTTCCCCTGTTAATGCTGTTCATCTTGGGCCCTGGTCTGGTGGTCACCAAGTCATATGGCTCAGCTGTTTGGAGGCTGGATTCATTGTGGGGATGTGATAGTACTGGCTGACCTGGATGTGCTGGGGTGTGAGTGTCTCCGGGTTGCTGAGGTCTGGAGTCTTGTTCTGCAAGGCCTGGAGGTCCAAGTGTCCTGGTGATACAGAGCCCATTCAGGACAGAGTCTTTGGAGTGAGGCTGACCAGAGAGCTGGAGTTGACAGTTCTTTGGTGCAACCCCTCCACCCAGAATGGACAGTCTGTTGAAGACCTTACTGGCCTTTAGAGCAGGAGAGATTGGAGGACAGAACCATTCCTGCATGCCCAGGCTGTGATTGATCTAAAAAGGAAATTGGCTCTGAAGAGGGACCAAGTTAGAGCCCCTGGGGAAGAAGGCCATGATGCTGAAGTGGGGGCCCTGCAGCACCTCACCACAGGAGAGGCAGAGAGCCAAGAGGCTTGAGAAGACCTAGGTTGCCACTTGGGCATTTTTCCTTTGGACTGGGGGTGAAATACCTGGGTTCCTCTTGGACCCCTAGGGGCATAACTTGGACAGGCTGAGAAGCCTCAGATCTGTGCATGTTGGGCAGGGGAAGAGGAGTCACATATCCCACACAGTCTGACATGGACCAACAGCTTCCACATGAGTTCACACTCATGCTCAGTATATACAGGTGTGCACTTGCACAAGAGCTTCCCACACTGATATGTGGCTCAGGAGCCATGCACGCTGGGCACCCACTCTTACTGTTTGAGGAAAGGTTGAGTCTTAGCTAGGGGCCAAGTTCTCAAATCTGTTGAGCAAAGAGAGCTGGCTGAGATTTCCAGTGAGTAAGAAGCATGTGTTACCTGTCCCTGGGCAAGGTCAGGGAAACCACTTGAGTCCTTAGTGTCCCCACCCCGGACTTCTTTGAGGAGCGATCCCATACCTGCCCACTACAGGTGTCCCCCAGGTTATGGCAGAGGCTGGGGCTAGAGGCTCCCTGTGCCCAGGTCTGTATATCATGGAGCTGAAGGTGGCATACAACCTGGGTTTGTTTCCAGCCAGCTGCTACTGGCCTCTTTCCAAACCTTCAAATCCTTCCCACACCCCACAGATGAGAAGCAAAGGAAAATGTATTTTCTTTTCTTCTGAAGAGAATATCTCACTTAAAGCAGAAAGGCAGGATGCTGGGGGACTGCAGAGCCTCCCAAGGTCTTCATACTTGGGCTCCGGCAGCCTAGGAAAGAGAAGAGGACACCCTAGACAGGCAGGGGCTATTGAAAATGGTCTGAAGCCTATGGGCTGACAGAGGTCTAGGGCATAGACAAGAGCTCCTGCCTACAGCCTCATGCAGGCTCTGCTGTCTGGCAGGTCTCAGAAGGGACCACAGAGTAGACCCTCTCATACTACCACCCTGACCCAGTACACACAAACTGTGATGCAGAGGAAAATGGTATGGGGACAGCAGATTTATGAGGACCAGTGTCTAGGAGCCAGAAGAGGGCCCTGCCTAGGCTGAGCTGGGTGGCACTGCATCTCTGGGGTATCCGTGTCTGAAGAGAAGCACCTTTGCCTGGGCAGGCAGGCATGGTACAGCAGACCACCTCTGGGTCCTGGAAGATGGGGAATGAGCAGGCCCCTCCTTGAGCCCTTCCCCGAGTTCATGGGTGTGATGAGGACCCCTCCTTATGGTAACAGAGGCTTCAGGAAGTCCCCCAAGACAGAACAGAGAGGAAATGAGATACTCTCAAAGCCGGTGCCACTTCTGAGCCAGCAGCCTGTTTGAAAATAAGCAAAAACCTTCTACACGCTGGAAATAATCAGTGACTTTTCTTCTCTCTCCTTGGGCAGTGGTACCTACAGACTCAGGGAGATCTGAGAAGGCTGGGGTGGGCTGCACATACACTCATGCTGCTTTGGCACAGCCACACCTGTGCTTTGTGTGTGCAGAGCTTCTCACTTGAGGCATGCACGGCTCCACACACCTACACCATGGGTACAGAAGGGAGAGAAACTAATATTGCAGGAAGTTCTACCCCAGGCCCTGGACTGCCCCTGAGCTGGCTCTGCCTGGTGCTCACAAAATGGAAAAGGGGTGCTGGGCTGTAGCTGAGTGGTAGAGCTCTTATAGGAGGGCAGAGACACAGGTGGCCCAAGTTTCAGAAGCAGAACCAGATGACACAGCAGCAGCCCCACTTCCCTATGCAGTATGGCCTGAGTTCAGGCCCCAGCACTGCAAAAACAAAAAAGAAAAAAGAACTTTTACTAGTTGATGTTGGTGACAGCCAGTTGGGGGATCACATAGGGTATGATGGGATTTCAGGCAGACACACACAGAGGTCGTGGCATGCTGGCTGTGTGTCCAACAGCACCAGTCCAAGAGTCCTGCCCCAGGCTTCACACACAACCCAGTAGGCTAGGTACCTGGGAAGGGAGGTGCTAGGAGTGACAGCTCATCCAAGGACTGTCACACTGTGGGCCCTCCACACTCAGGATGGGTCTACAACCATGGGCCCAGGAGGCTGAGGCCTAGGCCAAGCTTCACCTTCCTCTTCCCACTTGCCTAGAACCGGGGGCGGCTGGCAGATAAGAGGACAGTCGCTCTGCCCCAGACACGTGCCCTGAAGAAGGAGAGGACTCCCAGCTTCTCTGCCAGTGATGGTGACAGTGATGGGGGTGGCCCAGCCTGTGGGCGGCGGCCCGGCTTGAAGCAGGAGGATGCCCCACACATCCGTATCATGAAGAGAAGGTGCTTGTTCTGTGTCCAGGCCTAGGTGGTGGGGAGTTCCTCTGGGAATGGGGACATCAAGACTAAGGATCTTCTGGGGATACAGCTGTGGGGGGGAGACACGGGCAGGAGCTGTTACCTCGCCTGATGTCCCATCCTGGGATCCTCTCCTGCCAAGCAGGAATTGGATTTCAGTGGAATAAGTTGAGTCTGAGGAAGCCGCAGCCCCCAGCATGGCTCAGGGCAGGGTCAGTGCAGTTCTTTCCTACTCAGCTCTAGCCTGTGGGCCTATCCAGGTGTGCTACTAGCAGGTGGAAACAGGCATGGGAAGCTGTCCCTGGTCCACTGCCTCTGGCTTCCTACATGCTCTGCTGTGCAGAGCCAGTGCTGGAGCTGCACTGACCCTTGGCTTCTCTCCCTGCAGAGTCCACACCCACTGGGATGTGAACATCTCTTTCCGAGAGACATCCTGCAGGTAGGAGTCCTCTGCTTCTGCTTCTAAAATTCAGTCTGCCTTCTCTTTTGCCCCCTTCTGCCTGTGGTCTCTTGTCCTGACCAGTGTGCCAGGTTTGATGTGTCTGCTTCTTACTCTGCCTAGGATACAGGTGGTCTGATGCCCAGATGAGATCAGGAGACACAGTTCATCCAGTATATTTGTGCTCAACCTCACAGGGGTTCTAGGCAGCCCAGACCTGGAGGCAAGTCACACCCCCTGTGGGACTATCCATTTGAGACCATCTGCTTGAGGACAATGCTATGACCTTACCCTCTCAGAGACCCATCAGGAAGTGAGAATGGTGTTATTTGAGTGGAGTCTTAAAGGATGTGTAGAGCTTGCTAGGGAAGAGGGGTCTGCAAAGCTGTGGAGAAATGAGGGAAGGTATTATGAGAAAAGGAGGGCAGGGTTGGTTCACTTAGATGCTAGAGGTCTGGGCCTTGGATGCTGGGCCAGTTGGGCTTTGTCTTCTAGGCAGGATGAGCTATGAAAAGTTCTTGAGCAAGGAGAAGAGTGACCAAGTTTGTGTTTTGTGAAGCTCTTTCTGGCAGGAGGCCCCTCAGGCAGGCTGGGGGCTTGCCTGGAACCACATGGACTTGTGCTGTGAAAGCAATTGGGGTGTAAACCCAAGGCATAGCAAGGAGGCAGAAATGACAGCCCATGATGAGAAGGTTGGGGTATTAGGGTTGACCCACATTTCTGGCTCCTGAGGACTAGAGCTGCTTAGTCTGTGATTTCCGACTAGTGGAGTCAAGTCTTCCTCCATGGCTTCCAGGGAAACACAGCAGGAAGGGTAGAGCAGGAAAGCAATGGGTGTTCAGTGTCAGGACTGGCCGTCCTGGCCAGAGCTATGAGCATCTGGTCTCTCCAAGGCCCAGCCACACAGCCAGGAGGGAGCTTATCCTGGCTTTTTGCCAGATGTGTTATTATTTGTCTTTGAGAATGTCTGGATTCTGGAGCCAAATTACAATAAAAACATCTTTAAACTTATTTCCACCTCATTTTGGAGTAG